TAGTAATTGGTAATATGTTTCACTGGACAAGACCAGGAAACTGAGGAACCCGGGTATTTACAGGCTTGTCCAAGTGGATATTGAATTCACCAAGCGTTGAGGAGGGGTGGTGTTGGAGCTGGTGACGGTGAGTCAAAACCTGAAAATACTTAAGCACTGTGAGGGAGGGCTGGAAGGTAAGTAGGGACTTTGTAGGTTGATGGCAAGAGTTTCAAAGCGTTGGGTGTTTAGGAGGGACGGAGAATAGCCTGGAAGTGGCAATGAGGAACAAGCAGGCATCCTGCAACTATTAATGCTTTATTACTCACATTTTGACAGAGATAACATAATATATCCCAAGGCATGGCAGTGACTCTATGGGAAAACCCTGGCTTAGAACCCACCAAATCATTTCTAACTATTGCTCAGAACAACTATGCACAAAAACTGAAGGCTTTTTGTATGCGGGAAAGAAATACTGGAAAGTACCCAAAAGGTTCAGACTAGAAAATATGCCAAGAATATTTTCTTTTATACCTTAACACAGGTAAGACTTACCCAGTTTGAGCATATTTTTGACAATGTGAAACACTTTAGAAAACTGAAGATTTCAACAATGTAGACACTTGTAGGCATAGCAGAATGACAGTCTCCCTTCCCAATCTTGTAAACTTGGCATCTCTACGGTTCTGCTGACATTGTAAATAAGAACGCTAAAATGCACAAGAATAGTTTCACAACATCCAATTTTAAAGTTCATCCGAGCTGTCATTTTTTTTTTCCCCTTGCTGTGATTTCTTGCTGTCACCTAACAGTTGAAATTCTGATTCAGGGTAATAACTGAGGTTTTTATACAAAGCATGATACAGTATTACTATTCCTCCACACTAACCCCAGAGTAAGAGATTAAGAGGAAGGGGCAACTGGGGCATGGACATTTGCTATGTACACATAATGACCCACTGCTGGAAACAAAAACTCACCTCTCCACCAGCCTTTGCTCAGGCTCAGTAGTGTGATGCCACCCACTGATGGTAAAAACAAACCATCAAAACCAAATCCTCATGCGAGGAGTTGAGTTAGTTTGAAGATACCTATGCAAAGCCAAAACTCTGTAATCTTTAGAACATTTCTATTTCTAACTGTGTTGCTTAGTCTTCATCCAAATGTTTGGCCTCGTGGACACAGAGTCCAAGATTTTGATCTAAATTTAAAATATCTCAAAAAACGTATCCAGGGACTTCTGTTTAAAAACACACTTCTGTGGGGATTTTAGTTTTGCCGCATTCTGGCACTTCCTGGAATGGCAGGCCTACAATAAAGTTCGCAGCAGAGAGTTAGGGTCCCATACAGTTTAACACTATGCCATTTTTTTGAATCTTCTTATTGCCTGTGGAAAAATTCCCAGAACAATGATACAGTATGGAACTCAAACAACACTTGGAAAATGCTTGGTAGAAATGTACAAATGGTCAGGTTTGAACCTGAAAGTTCTCAAGGGATTTTCTTCTTTGCTGGGGCTTCTGAGAAGAGTTCAGTTTATACCATTTTGAGGCCCATGAAAGGAAAGCATACCTTAGGGTTCCTGATACTACTATACTCATCAAAGCCAAAATGTAGTGGCATTTGAGAAATATTAGCAGGTAAATGAAACCACATTTAGATTTTTGGATTTTTACATTGTAGCTATGTAGTCTCAAGGGAGACCAGTTATAGATTTGTTTGTTATGCTTCATTTGATTTGGTCAGATTCAGATTTTTGAGGAATGAACTAAAAGGTAATTGATCATTCACAGAAACTGTTGAGAGGGCCAGAACTTAGTATCAGAAAGGATTTGGGAACATCAGGGGCTTGGGAAGATGATTCAGAATTGTTACCAGTGTGTTGTGGATATTCTCCTGTTTTCCTCCAGTGGGTTAAAAAAATTTTTTTTTCTTTCTTAAAAATAAGGTAGCACATTTCATATCTTAAAGCGATCAGCACAAATGCAGTGATGCCTGTTCAAGCAGACTTCCAAGGACAGCACACACTATCGACACAAAGAGCTCTTCCACATTTCCAGAATACAGTGACAAGAACTGGTACACATAATAATAAAGAACCCCCCTCCCTTTTATTTAACTTCATGGAATGGGAGGTCAGACTTCAGGCACTTCTTTGTCTGGCAGTGGACAAAACCAAAAGGGCTCCGACCTGAATTTTACATCTCTGTTTAATCTACCGCACAAGAGGGACCAGAGACACCAATGACCAATGAGTCACAAGAGCAGACAGAAAACTGTTAGTAGGTCTTGACAACCAGGAATGAAGATGCTTTTTAAAAATATGTACTTGATGCCAAGTATGTAAGAAATGGTATCTTAGAAAGCAATGCCATTGTATTAGAAAAATGGAGTCCCTGTCCAGGTGACCTTGTGGGATTTCATCTGGACCTTGATCTATACTGTTGAAATAGCTGTAGGTCTTCTTGAAGCATCATTTAAGTCTTCAAGAAAAATAGTGTCATCTATATAACCAGAGCCATTGATTCTGTGTGGAACTTAGTGCAAGCTGTTTGCATTCATACTCTGTGCAGTGGCAATGGCCGGGGTGTAACTGGCCTGGGGAGAACGCTCACCATTCGAATGGAGATCTTAGAGGTCTTCTGTTTCTGCAGTATGGACGCGGGAATCCACACTATTTTCCCCCTCACTGGCACCCCAGAATGATGGTCACCTGTCAGAACCTGAACCAAGACTATGGTTTGGGCAGGCTCCACGGATTTTACAGTATGATTATCAATTTAGAGCAGTAAGTACTGAAAAGATCTCGCGAAACTTACTTTGGGGCAAGGGCTCAGTTTCACTTTGTAGAACAACAAAAATAAAATGAGCCAATTCCATAAACAAAATCCCCTCTGGGAAGAACTAAAACTAAACACTGAAACTAATTAGTTTCAAAATTAAAGAAATTTTTACTAGGGTGCTATTAAGATGGATGAAAAGCACAGCCCTCCTCCCACCATAAAAAAAAAAAAAAGGAAGGAAGAAAGAAAATAAGCAAATCAGAAAACTGGGAATTGCTATGAGCCATAATAGTCTGAAATACTCAGCACGATCGGGGTCTCAGTGTGTGAGGCCTGGGGCCTGTCCTGATGGAAGAGAATGTATTTTTGAAGATAAAAGCTACAAGGAAGTTTTTAGATATCTGTTACGGAACACAGCTTTGTTAGGGGCCCTTTTAAATTTACTTTTGCCTTGTACTCCATGTAAACTATTTGTACAAAAATATAGAAAGGCATGGCTTGATGTTTAACGTCTGTGTTTTATTGTTGGCACCAGAAAAAGCTCATGGTCTATGTTATGTCACTGTACATACTGTAAACAAGACTGCATTAATATTGTTTTTATGAGTTTTGTTTCAATGACTCTAGATTTTAAAAAATACATTCACAAACTACCTTATGTTTAAACACAATGATTCCCTTTTATTTCTTAACTGTACCCAAAATCCCACAATAAAAAAATCATTTAAAGCTGTGTGTTTCGAACTCATCACTTAGAAATCAAAACAAAACATAACATAAAAACAAAGATCAGTTTGCAACATAATTTAAAGAAGCTTCTGGTTTAAGATACCACAGCAGCGATATAAAGAGCTGGTGGCAATCACATTTGGGGATGAGACCCAAATCAATATATTTTGTCCACATCAGCATCCAATTACAGTAGTTGCTAAATTCAATCCAAAAAGTTATTGCTGAATTTGTTGCATGGAATTTGTGAAGACAGTATTGTTCATCAGCAGAGCCATAGCAGTAAAAATGAGAACGGGAGGATTTCATTGCTTTTGAGAGCTAAAGGGACCATGATGAGGACATCTCAGTGATCGCCTGAAGGTAATCCCCAATTCCATTACTGTGTGTTACCTGTTTCAAATGCAAATGATGCTATGATAACTACCACTACAGGAGGGCCATAATCACCTACTTCAGAAATTGCAATAATTCCCCTGCCTGTCCCCCTTTTACCCAAACCACCAGATTGAATTGGCTCCATTTTCCTAACGTATATTTCGTTCTCATTAATAGTACATCAGCTGCTAATGTATTTAGGCAAAAATCAGTAGGATCACAGACTTTAAAAAATAAAAAAATCTGTTTACAGTAATTGCTTTCTCCAGAAACAAGTCGCATTGGTTTTTGTTGAAGTTGGATTTTTAAAAAATTTTTTGAAGAACAATTTGGTCAACTACTGTTTTGTTTAAAAAGTATGAAATACACCTGAGATTGCCAGTTGAGCTCTCTATATGTCTCCTGGAGATAACACTGCTGCGATGAACAGTGAAACAAAACAAACGAAACGAGGTAGGTTAAAACAGGAAGCGCAACACATATCGTTTTGCAACACCTCGATACCACAGGCGGCCATGCTTGTAGCTTTGGAAAAAAAAAAACCCAGACAGTCACGTCAAAGTTCAAAATCATCCGAGTAAGAGTTTATAAGGACACAAGTCAACCTGAACTAAATACATACATATCTCTGCACAAATGTTGTTTACCGTATGTTGGGTAATTTGGAGGAAGGGAAAATGATTAGGGTCTCAGAATTCTGGCCAAAGCCTTGCTTTTAAGTTCTATAAACTCTGAACCAATGATGCCTGCTGTGTCTCAGGCAGGCTTAGTAGTCTAGTCCCTTCTCTCACCAACCCAGAGAGAACACAGGCAGCTCAGAAACATTTATTATTATTATTTTTTCAGTCACAGTTTTCATCTTGAGAAAGTGGCACCCTCAGGAGAAAGCTGGGAATGACCAGAGTCTGGATGTCATTCGTTCCCCAATTCCCAGAAAGAACTCAACAGTCTCACTCCTAATGAAGCCCAAAGCCAGTGACCTCTTAGCTAGAGGCTTTGTGCATTAAAAAAAGAATGTGTGTGTGTATATATATATATATATATATATATATATATATATATGGATATAATATATAAATTTTTTTTTTTTTAGTTTGTTTCCCAGGAGCTCTTTTTGTCCAACCCCGTCAGTCATCCCATCTTTTGCCCTGATCTGTTGCATAATAGCTGAGGGAAAGTTGTGTTACAGAGTCCCTCAATCGCTAGAGCCTACTCAACTCAATGGCACTACTATCCCATTCAACACATTCCATTCTGCACAGGGCCATATAAAAATAGGGCCTGTCAGACTCACAAAAATGGTAGTTGATTTTATTAGTCTAAGGCTAGTAGTTTAGCCATTTAAAATCTATTTCCCCAAAGAGGGGAAAACTAGTATTTTTCTTCTCTTTTAAAAATTCATTAGCCAGTTGCTATCAAAAAGCAACCTTTGGGTTGGTGAAGGCAAAAGAGTTCTAAAATTACCCCACTATGCAATTATGGCCTTCAGTGTAAGGAGATAAGGTACATTTATTGTGCTGTCTCTCACCATTTGAAATTGGAAACTTTACAACATATTGTATAGTTATAGCTAGCAGGCAGACAGAATTAAAAACAGACTCATCTTTTCAGTATGCACTCTCTCCCCATTCTTACAAAGTAAGGGGGTAAAGAAAAAAGGTAGAAAAACAAAACAAAAACAAAACTCAAAACCCACCATAACACAGCTTAATCATAAGAGCACACAATATTTGTTTCTATCCCTAACTCCGAAGGGCACATGGTCCATCTTTGTCCACAAACAACGCAGCATTCTTGGGGATCTCCTGGAAATTCCTGCTACCTTTTTCTCACCTTCTCAACCAGGCTGCAACACTGAAAGATGGACTGTGGACTGTACTAGGACGGGTTGGGGGAGAAGAAAAGGGGAAAGCGGTATGTTCAACCAAGCCTTCTGATTCTGCCTCTAGACTGGCATAAGTCCACATGAGTTATGTTCTTTTTAATTAGAAACAACGCCATGAAGATAAGTGCCAAGTGCTCTTCTGTTACCAGTTCATCATGGAATTTCTGTTGAGGGTCATGAAAAACACTTGGCTACTTCCTCCAGATCGCACGGATGCAAAAAATACCTGTTTGAAATTAAAAAGAAGTTAGTTCAACTGCATGGTTTCTTTTCCTCTTTTCTTCAACCGTCCATCCATTTCCTCTCACATGTCCTATCCTTGCCATGTGTTAGCTCTTAAGACTCAATGGCTGGTGTTTATAAAAGTGCCTTTGAATACAGTGCATCCTCTGTACACACTCCTGACTTGATTACTTTGATTGTGACTGTTATGTATTATGGTACGGGCCTTCAGGAACATGGGAGGGGCTATATCTTGATTGGCAACATCCCTGAGGATGCTCATATTTTAAAAGGGAGTTTCATGCTCGGTAATGTGCTAGATTTTGGGCCTAGGACATAACAGGTCCTTAATCTCTGGAAAACCATAGAGGCTTCCCTTCTTTCCCCCATACTGACGATAGGGCAGACTTTAGGCCTTTAGAGAATCCTTTCAAATTCCCAAGGTCAGGGGAGGGGCAGAATTTTGGACCTATCGACTACTATATAACTTCAGTTATCAGTTTTTTAAATTAAAAAAAAAAATAGTGTGATCAGATAAGGTAAGTTGTTTCATGCTTATTCACTTTGGTATATCAAGAGTTAACTCTTGGCTTGTCTGCTGGTGCAGGCATATCCTAGGCCAAAGGAGAGATGGCATTAATAAACAGAACCACAGTCCATTAGGTCTGGGTCTGTTAAATCATTTTATCAAACAACTAAGCAAAATTTGGGTTACTGCTTGCTTGAATGTCAGTGAACCACTGCCCTGGGAAAATAATATTCTGGGCTGTGGCTTAGCCCTTAGTTAGCCAACACCAAACTTTGGTCCAAGGCATTTACTTTTGTCACTAGTGTAAAGTCTCTGCTACTTTATTTCCACAACTCCTTCAGAAGAATGCTGTCTCTCCCAACAACAACTTCGTAAGAAGTTCTGGGGGGAAATGCTTGTCATTCAGCTAATGCTACATATGTAAGTATAACTACTGTTGGGGTCAGTGAATTAAAATGGGGAAGCACAGAAGACCCATGGAAACACACTGGGTGGGGGCAGGGGAAGAAAGGGCTGCTGTTCTCTCCAGGCTGTGTGCACCCTGGGCTCTGAACCTTGGGCCCCAGATACTGGTGTGGTCCCTGCCTGCTCCAGAGGGTGTGGGCATGGCTTAGAACTGGCTTCCTGGAGCGGGTCGTCAAGGAACTGGAGTGTGAGGATCTATACCGAGATCACTCCTAGTCTTACGATCGATCCCCAGAGACTGGGCTGGGCCTGGAGTTTTAATAGGGGTCAGGTCTATTTCCTGGCATACTCTGGGAAGGCCCTGGAACCATCCTTGGCACCCACAGTTATTGTCTACACAGACTGCACTGGGTCAGAGTAGCTGGCCAGGGTCAAATATAGTCTAGACTCACCCCCAGGGTTGGACTAAGACTGGTCTGGCCTCTGAGGAACCAGGATGGACCAAGAGATGTACATCTGTTCAACCCATCACATTCTTTACTCTAGGTGTTTCAGGCCTGCTCTTTGGGGACAGCATTTCTAAGTTGGCCATAGCCCCAAAGGATAAATTCACAAATGAGCACAGCTTAGCGACTAAAAACTCTGGGTTAGTCTACAGGGAGGGCAAGGGAGAAGCCGTACTGCTGCAGAGTACCCTTCCGAGGTGACTGATCATGCCAGACGGACGCCACCAATTTCACTGCAAAACAGTCCCCCTATGACACTTCAGAAGAAACATGGCTGGAATGACACAGGACATGGCACTAGTTGAGTTTGCGACTGAGCATTTCTTAAGGAATGGGTGACATTTTTTTAAAAGTTTGTATTTCTCCGTGTCAAATGTTTTACATTTAAAGGTGAATATAATGTGATGGGTTGGGTTCCCCATAGTGACTTTGTGAAAAGTCTCAAAGTGGAGTGTGAAGCTGACCCACTGTGAGTGATTAACGATGGGCCAACTCTCCCAATGTGTAGGAGAATTTGGGGTGTCTGCTGAGTCAGCATAAGGCCTGCAGGCCACAAAAGTTGCTAAGAGTTTACAAGAAATTCTTAGAAGTTTTAATGTCTTTTTAAATATGCAAATAATATATTTTGAGGGTTCACATGAATCAAACCAAATAATGCCATTTCAAGAGAATATTGATTGTTTAACACAGATGTGATTCAAATCAGTATAGAGGAAAATGAAGGTTTCACAGGTACCTGGTGGTCTCTTAAAATGCAAACACTAATGCAAATGTTGAAACGGATTTACCTTATCATTTCTTTCACATAGAAACTTTAACCTTTGAGCTCGCTTATGCATAAATACTCCATCCAAATGTCCTGTTTCCACTGACCGGATCTCAATAGCTTTCTCGCCCCAGCCCATTATCTGATTGGAATGAATGTAGGCTGTCAAAAGGAATTTCCAAAACTGCATTAAAAACATTAGATGGGCAATAACTCACAGCATCTGTTCACATCTTAACCACAAAAATGACAAACAACTTGAGATAAACAGACAAAGCAAGTCTTACAAGTGTTATTCACAGACTTTTGTTTTTTTGTTTTGTTTTTTTTTTGTTTTTTTTTGTTTTTTTTTTTTTGTGGAATCAAATGGTTGTTTCACATTTCTTGACTTTCGTTTCATTTGGGGGGTGTAACTGCTGAAGGAGATAAGGAATGGTTAACCTACCCACGGACGTGGGCATTTCTCCCCATTGGAGCACCACATCCTTAGTTATCCGGCCATAGGTGTTTACATACACCCCCTCATCCTCATAGCAAACAAGCATTTCCATTCCATCTGTTTTAGGCAAGATGACAATGGCATGAGGAGTGATATTGCCCTGAATCTAGGAGACAAAGAAAGGCCAGGCATTATTCCTTTTAAAAAATACAACAGCGTCTTGGCTATGCATCTCTAAGATGGCAAAAAAGATGATCCCCTCCCCCCACCCCCGGCCACCATTTTCATTCTAGAGACTGACATTTTGCTTTGCTTTGCTGACTTTAACCACTGACCTGTCACATAGCCCGGTATACAAATACAGACTTAGGCACTAAGTCGAGAATCAATGACCTGTTCCTACAAAAAAACAACTGCAAGTAGGGAACACCTACTACGTGCCGAGCCCTGGGCTCTTTACATACAACATCTCTGGTTCTTAGAAGGGTTCCCGTGGTGAACACCCTCTACAGACGAGGCGAGGCGTGTGCACGTCAGAGGGGTAATGTAGATTGAGCAGAGCTGCCTCGGTCTTTGGTGGTAGAACTGGGATTTGAGCCCGTGTCTCACGGACAATAAAAAATCTACTTCCATCTACTTCTAAAAAAAGACGAGGGGAATGCAAACCAGCTGAATTTGATGGAAATAGCTGACACAAGGTCAAAGGGTGGGACCCAAACGGACGCCAGCAAATAGGCTCTGAGCGTCCAACATGGACTATTTATCTGGGTGCCCAAATGACAGAATAAGCCCAATGAATGGCTTGTTGAGAAAACATTTAAAATGACTGGTCATTTAAAAAAAGTCATGCTACTGGAATCAGTGTAGATGGACTTGCCGTAGGAGGAGATGCAGTGCTGCTGGGGTCCCTGGGCTAAGGCTGTCATGGCAGCCCGCTATGTGCCTGGCGGGGAGAGGAGAGGACCGAGGGTGATCACAGTGATGCCCCAGTCACCTCACCAAGCACGGGAGCTGTGTGTCCTGTGTACACATGCACACACGTGTGAAAAGCTAGGATGCAGCGCGGAACACTGTGCACGTGTGAAAGAGACTGTGTTTGTGTGTGTATGCGTGTGCATATGTGTGTGTGATGTACTGAAACTACTTTTTTCAATCATCACACTTTTTTGCAGTAAAGCTTATAAACTCTCAAAATACCAATCAGCAACAGATCAGGCCTCAGACTCTCCTGACGGTGTCTACTGTATGTTGGCCTTGGGATCAGGTGCAGGAAAGATGACTTACACTGCACCCATCCTAAGAAGTGACACCACGGGCCATATTTCTCTTTGACCGTCAGGTTTTAGGCAGTGTTCCAGTGTTGTAATGTTCATACAACAATTTGCAGGGGTTTGTGCTAAGTATCTAGAGGTATTACTTCATTTAATGTTGATGATAAGCCTCTGGAATAGGTCCTTTTATTCCCATTTTACAGATGGGAAAGCTGAGGACTGGTGAGACTCTCTAATGTGCCCATTGTTGCAAAGTGAATACATGCTAGCGCCAGGATAGCCTCCAGTGTCTGATTCTACTACACAACACCCCCTCAAGTTGAAGAGATCAATAAAGACAGCAAAAGGGGACCACTGACTTCCCAAGTCACATGAACCCGCCTCCCTTCAAAAGCTGAAAATAGGACGTCATCTATGTACTCTTGCTTAAAAAACACAATTTATGCCCCTGAAGGAAAAATGTCATATGTATTTTAATCCAAAGTCCAATAAGACAACATGTCTAGTAAATGGTGAAGAATCGCTGTTACCTGTTACTCAGTTTCAAGCATTCATAAAGATCAGTTACACCCATGTTTTATGTATCGAAAGCACTGTCTATTTAGTGAAGGCTTTTAGCCTTTTTAGTCCATCTGCTGTACCAATTAGTAGAAATTAGCTTGACTTCCACAAAAAGATGCAAAAACAAATCCTTTTCTACATGCACATTGTTGTAGAACTCGAGAACTTACATGAGATGGTATGTAGATATCATAAGAGTTTCCTGAATCAACATCAATTACATGAAAACCAGTGTGTGAACCAAAAATAACCTTCAATCTTTGGCCTTCTTCTACTGTGAGATCAACAAGCAGTGGCTTGTGCTGGAGATCTGAAAAAGACTTTAAAAAGCACCCAATGAGTGTCCACATCATTCAAAGAGGTTATCTTAATCATTGTTTCTTTTAGCCACAGCCTGGTGGAAGTTAATGTCTGGCTTTCTTACATTGAAAAGCCAGCAGATTTCTCTTACAGCTTTAGATCTATTTGTATTCTGGCTCTAGGAGGAAGAAAAGGTCTAGCACCCATCGGTGGCCCCTTCTCCACTCCTTGTCCTCCAGGGCAGAGAATTGGTTTAGAGTTGTCAATTTCAACAGCATTGTTATCCTTGAAGAACTTGGCATCTGGGTGCCGCTGTTCTTTCCTGTTTATTTCTGGCCTTTTCCTTCTGGAGAAGGCCCAGCCATCTCTTTGGCCCCTTTCTTTCCCATGGAACACCAGGCCCTCACATGGCTGTGACCCTTTCAGAGACAGCGTGGGGTGGGCAGCTGGACTAGCTCTGTGCTGAGTCTGTTCAGAATTAATGCGCACACTCTGGTTCTGATTTTCCTTCAGTGAGTGAGTGAGTGGGCATCAGATTGGTACCCTTAAACATACCATTGTCAATAGAGAAGGGAGGGGAAGGCTGGAACATCACAAGACTCATGGCTTACGTTGGCTAGTTCAGCTTAAGTAGGAAGGAAAAAAGAGAGCTCTAGCCAAATTTATTAAGGTTCCATGTGTTTTAATCCAGAGCCCAAGCCCCAAGTAGCTGTCAAGCATTCCTCTGTTTTCTTTTGCCATTATTTAAGCACAGTCTACTTTTACTGGGCCTTGATGTCTGGGAGAGAAGAAACCACAAGTGACTCAGCTATAATGCCACTGCCACCCAATGGAGCCTTTTCTTCAGCTTTTGCTAGTGGAGTCTCACAGTAGGGGAGGCTCCCATCCCTCTTGTTCCAGTCCTGGCTTTTGCACTGTCCTCCTGCCAGGCTGGGTGTGGTAAACAGAACATAGCCTTTTGCACCCTTTCATGCACCAAGGCTGGCAGTAACTTCCAAACCGGAATCCGAACCGGACCTTGAGTGAACAACTTTCGTGGACCTAGATTTGGGCACAACGGCAGCACCAATTGAACTTTTAAGTGTTAGTGTTGTAACTAACCTAATACAGTCTAAAAATTTCTCTCCATCAAAGTGGGGAATGGAGGAAGCCCACTTCTACCAATGGATCTATCTTCCTGAGCACATCACTAAGGGAACAAGACAGCCTCAAAGAGCACCTCATAGTGCTCCCAAGGCAGCTTCTGGCCTCACATGGCATAAGCGGCAAGAAAGAATATATCAAGGGTCAAAGGAAGATGAAAGCCACAAGAGTGGGGAGAAAAAGTGAGGGCCAATGTGCTCTGAAGAAAGTGGGCAGAGAGAGACAGGGAACAGATGACAAATTCACTTGGGCTCCGGATAGAATCTGCAGCTCTGTATACGTCCAAGTGCCTGCACAGACTGGTCCTTGTGACATTTGGGGGTCCACTTTCATGAGCTGGGGTCCAGTGCTCTAGCATATCCTCATCCCACTCACGGGTGTCCAATCCAACCATGGCGGGTCCAGACTCAGATAAGGTCAAAAAGGAAAAAGCGGAATGCAGAGAAACTAAGCCATTTCCTTATGAACTACATTCAGTATTTACTTCAGAGGAGTCCAACAGCACTGGGGATATATGCGCATCATGTGAGTTGTTGGGACTTTACCCCAAAGGCTTATAAGGATGACAAGATTTGGAGACACGGTTCATCCTTGAGATTTAGTGCTGCGGTTGGCCTGCCTTTTTGAGATGACTTATCAGAGATTACCCTAGTTAGGTGCCTTTATAATGACTCTCATTGCCTAATATCAGAATTAATGCTTTGCCCAGTAGCCATCCCATACTAAATGCCCCTAGGAGACGATGATTTGTTGACCTGATATGGAGGAGGGCACCCCCCAATTTTTTCTACATTCACTCATCTCCCACCCCCAGTATATTTGATGGCATTTATTAGTGCTTAGTCTTTGCTTTTGGAATAATAAGCCTAAGAGTTCCGATACTTTTAAAAGGGGTTTATTATATATAGAGAAATTGGCGTTAGTCGATGTGCCAGACAGACCACTTTGTTAACTGGTGCAAACCAAAAAAGAAAAAAAAACACCTTTTTTAGGTAATCACATGCCCACTTACCTTAAATGCCATGAACTTATGATACGGCTTAGGAGCCCAGGCATATATTTCCACAGCATTCTTTAAGGCAATCACTAGGAATTTAATCCTTTCATATTTAACTGTAATAGACAAATGATAAATTGAGAAGGCATACCAACGCACTCAGGGGTTTGCATATGTAAATACATACGCCGCTCTTGGTGGGGGATTTGCTCATAGAACAGACTGAACTTTCTTTAAAGCACTCCGTCTTCAGAATACTGGGGGCCTTTTGCTTTATACTGAAGGCTCTTTTCTTCATCTGAAGGGTTAGGACTCTCTTTAATCACTAGGTCTAGATGTGACTTATTCATTGTAATAAGAACCTGCACAGTCACCTTCACGTTCCCCTCCCTGGCTTTTATAGTCACCCACGTGCTAGAAGCTGAGAGCTAGTATGGCCAAATGGTAGAAAAATTAACAAATGGCTAGACATGTAAAGGGGGCCGTTTGCTTATTATCCAAATATGAATTCCGATGATTAGGGATTTATAAGTGGTTACTGCCTATAGAGAGATCCCCCTCTCCAAACACTGCATGAGGTTGTAGCAACGACTGCTGTGTATGAACCAGAAAGCAGGCCCACAGCAGACAATGAGTCGGCCAGCACCTTGACCTTGGTCTTCCCAGCCTCCAGAATTGTGAGAAATTCCTATTGTTCATGGTATTCTGCTCTAGCAACCTGAACAGGCTAAGACAGTACATGTGGCAGTCATCTCCTTCGTAGAATAGTTGAATGAATGGAATACTGGTGTCCAAAAGGAAACTGGACAGCCCATGGCAGTGAACCAAATTCTTGCTCCCTGAGCTCTTTTTCTTTAGTGTGCCCTTGCTGTTTACATATTCTGTCTTTTAATATACTTTCAGCTACTTCCTTGGCTATTGACGTCCATATTTCTAAATAATATGCTTATAATGTTATTTCTTGATTTTTTTTTCAGCTGGAGATATCTGTTGACTTGAGAGCATGGGAAGGAGTTAGTCTCTTATAACCGTCTCCTCTCTCTAGTTCTCTCTCACATGCACACACACGTTTCTTCCTCCCCCACACCACTGATATAGTTTCAGTTCAAATTTTTGGTTAAATCAAGATCCCACGTTGAAATGACTATTGTTCACAGCTGAGGCATATAGCATGCCACAATTACATTTTCTTTCTCGTTTTTCATTCCCCCCCACTTCCTTCTTTTCCATGTATCTGTCTCTAAGCACATGTAGACATCCTGCTAGCACTGTAAATGCCTTCAATGTGGTCAAATGTAGCAGGTAATCTATTCATGACATTTTATTTTCCTTGAAGGCACCCCTTTTAGAATACTCCCTTGTCCCACTCTACCTTGACTGATTTCCTGATTTCTCTCTAGGCCTATGACAGAGTTGCCACCCACATTTCCTTCACCATCATTCTGGGTATTTTCTTCATTTTTTAATCTGGATTCCTAGATTTATGCCTTTATTTTGATGGAATACATCAGTCAGTAGTTTTCTGAGAACCAGTGTATGGAACATAAATGTTGTGAGCCTCTGCACGTCTGAAAATGTCTTCATACTACATTCAAAGTTGACTGATGGTTTGATGGTGTGATGGCTAATTTTTATGTGTCAACCTGACTGGGCCACAACGTGCCCAGATATTTGGTCAAACATTGTTCTGGGTGTGTCTATGAGGGTTTTTCCAGATCATATTAACATCTGAGTGGGTACACTGAGGAGAGCAGACTGCCCTCTCAGTGTGGATGGTTTTCATCTAGTCGATTACAGACCCGACAGAATAAAACGACAAATTAAGAGGACACCTCTTGCCTGACTGTTGAGCTGGGACATTGGTCTTTTCCAGACTTCAGACTGGGTCTGAGAGACTAGCTCTTCTGGGTCTCCGGCTTGCCAACTACAGATCTTGGGACTTCATAGCCTCCATAATCGTGTGAGGTAACTTCTGTAATAAACTACTTTATATAGAGAGTACATTTACAAACCCATATATGTATGTATATACCTCTTATACACACACACCCCCAGTGTGTGTGCGCATATGTATGTGTGTATACTGTTAGCTCTGTTTCTCTTGAGAACCTGGTTAATACTGATGGGTTATAAAATACTACTTGAAGGCTTTGCTCCATCATATTCTAAGCTTGTAGTATTGCTGCTAAATCTCAAGCCCCCTGATTTATAAACTATTTGTTTATTTATTTAATTATAATATGGAAGCTTTATGGACCTCATTTCCTGGGTACTGAAATGTCATGTTAATATATCTTCCTTTGAGTCTTTTTTTTTTTTTTTTCATTCACTATAATGGGTATTCACAGTGAATCCTTTTAACTTGGGACTTCGAGTCCTTAGTTCTAGAAATTTTCTTATATTACTTGTTTGATACTTTCTTCTCTTTCTAATTGTTATCTTCTCTTTTTTCTAAACTCATGTTACTTAGATTTTGAAGCACTTGGACTGATCTTTTACCTTCTTGCCTTTTGTCTCCTTTTCCTTTCTTCTGGTCCTACTTTCTAGGAGATGTCTCATCTTTATCTTCTGATACATCTATTACACTTTTTTTTTTGCTTGCCAATATATTCAAGTTTCTGAGATTTTCCCCTTGCTCTCTGACCTCCACTGACCCTGCTCCAAGTGTCCTTCTTAATGGTCTAGTCTTCACTTCTGGAAATAGTTTTTCTAATCTTTCTGAAGTTATTAGAGTTTCTTCTTAAATTTTTTCCATTCCTCATTAGCTCTGGCTCCTCTCAAGTCCTTTCTTTCTGTTAAAGTTTCCTTCCTATTGCTGGATGTCCCCGCATCCAGTGCAGGTGGGCTTACCCACTGCTGGGCTTCAGGTTTCAGTGGTCACATAGCAAGCTTCCCATGCACTGCCAATGTTAGTACCTAGACATCTTTTCTTTCTGGCCATTTTGTTTCTCCAAAGACAAATCTTTCAGTCTCTTGCTTGGGTATATAAGTATGGCTGACAACATTATGGGCGCTAAACGGGAAAAGAAGGGATATGTGTGTGTGTATGTGTGGGTCCTGGCAATTCCATGTTCCCACAATTCAGATTGGCCATGCCAACTTTTCCTCCTCCACTGCAGTGGGAGAGAAGTCGTGGCTCATCACCCTTCCAATAATCCTTCTGTTTTCGTTCCACCATATACCTCCATCTCAGATAACATCTGGGGCCTCAGATCTTGGGCCTTTCTGGGTTCTGTTAAGTGGTTGGATTGAACTTGATAACTTAGACATACAATTGAGCATTTCCTGGTCATCTAGGTTAGTTACTCATCATCCAACTATTCTTGTTCAATTCTGTTGACGTATCTTGTTGCTGGTTTTTCTTCTTCTGGTCCCTTTGTCCTTGTGGGTTTAGGGCATTTTTATTCCTTCACTGTCATTTTAATGGGTATTTGGGAGGGAGTGGATATAAATGTTTAAACTGGAGCATAGGACTTGAGTCCAAATGCACTCTTAGAACTTCATCAATCCAACTTTTTGGGAACAGTGCAAGTATACTTAAAAGTTTCAACAATATCTCAAACTGGTAACAACTGTATCATCAATACCTAATTGAGAACAAATGGAATGAAACTTAAACTGAGTAATTAGGATTGAGTAAAATATTCCATGTCTTGACACTCACCAACTTTGTAATGTATGCAGCCTTCCAAGTCCCCAACTGTGATCCAGCCTTGTTTCTTTTCCACTTCCGGGTCGTTGTGTAGTATTCTGTTTCTTAACCATGAAAGATAGTAAACTCGTAGTTTGTTCTTCTTTCCTGTTGAAATAATAGAGCTCCAATTTCAAGCCCCTGTGACAGACTTATCTCTCAGTCCATCCTCATCTGTTTTATTTTATTCATTTATTTTTATGTATAATTGTATAGGTGTGTGAAGGTACAATAACCAGTGTCCCCAGCAATATCAAAGTGTTGTCTATGCCAACAGCTCCAAGTGTTTTGGACAAATCACCATTTTATAATTTGTCTTTACCTTCAGGTTTTTTCTTATTTGAGCAAGCTGCTCTTACTCTCTCTTCTAAATGCAAAGGGCACTGTCAAGACCTAATTCTTTAACGGAATAGTTGGTCAGAGTTCCAGAACATTCTAGATCAAATTACATAAAGGAGATGTTGATAGCTGACATTTTAACATGTTTATGCATCACTGTCTTTCCCCCACCTTCTAACCTAACAGCATATGTTAATGAGGAGCCTCTTATTTGCCTATTACTTTGGAGATGACAGCTGGGATTAGTTTTACTTTATCTGACTAGCAAAAAATAAAATAAAATAAAATAAAATAAAAATAAAATAAAACAAAATAATTATAAGGAGGCAAGAGAAACAATTTTGATGAAGGCAACCTGAGCTTGGTGGAGAACTGTGGACACATTAACGATTCTGAGATCACTGCAAGAAATTTTAAACAAAAATAGTAAAGAAAAAGATATGTACTTGGGAAAAACCAAAGTTCCCTTTGGTAAAGTGCTTCTGGAGTTGGAATTCAACGATAAAAGACCATCTTAAAAATGCTGAGGAGTAGGGGCGCCTGGGTGCCTCAGTGGGTTAAAGCCTCTGCCTTTGGCTCAGGTCATGATCCCAGGGTCCTGAGATCGAGCCCCGTATCGGGCTCTCTGCTCAGCGGGGAGCCTGCCTCCCCCTCTCTCTCTGCCTACTTGTGATCTCTGTCAAATAAATAAATAAAATCTTTAAAAAAATGCTGAGGAGTACACAGGAGCAAAATTTAATATCCTCTGTGAGATTATCTGAGTACTAGATAAGAATGTTCCTTGGAGTGGTTCTTCCTTTTCCACGAGGGGCAGCGGAGAGGGGGAGTGGTGGCTCTTCTAAGTGATTAGACATTTAGGCCTGGGGGTTATACTTCCTGAGTACTTATTTTCTCTTTATTTCTCTTAGGCATCAAAAGATGCTTTATATTTAATAGATGTGACATATATGAGAAGAAGAAAATTTATTAAAGCATTGCACACTGGATTTGACAGGATGGTACACTCATAAATTAAGGGAGTCACTGTGCAGTTACTATTCCTTTTTGTAGCTGAAGGCCCAGAACTGATCTTAACAGCTAGGATGGACAGAAAGGCCAATGCTTCCTCCTTTCTGTGCCAAAGCAGATCTGAGGGCAGTTCAAGAATCATTTGCTCCTACTTTCATTCTCTTCTTTCCCCACCTATACTTCATGATAAGAGGAGGTGTTTACTTTTTAAAGAGTGGGAACATGTCACTCACAACGTAATGAAGTCTGACTGAATTTTCTGGCATCGTTTCCACTTTTGGTAGGTGCGTGGCAGATGTACGTTATAAATTCTGATTTGGTGGCACAGCAATCAAGCAAGCAATTGACAAGAAAAAAAAGACTACACTGAATTAAGCTCAAATGATAATACAAGAAGAATTTACTCGCCTAACTCTTTTGAGGGAGAATAAAAAGAGATGAAACTCTAAGCATTCAGTGGAAAGACAGAAGAAAGAGGGGACGGTAGCTTCAAGTGAAGGCAATTTTTCAAAGCAGAAGTATGGCTCATGAGCTAAAATTTATTCAAGGTTGAACCCAGTAGCCCTGTGTTTTCCCTTTGTGAAACAATGGCTCAGTAGAGAGCCGTGGTTCTCAAACTTGGCTGCACGTTAGAAACACCTCGGGCACTATGGGAGCTATTGATCCCTGGGCCTACTCCCAGCAATTCTGACCCACACCTGGGTGCATCCTGGGTTCTTCCTATCCATTCAGGCGGTTCTAATGTGCAGAGGTATGGTGGTTTCATACTGGATGGGACGGGAAGGCGGGGGAAAAAAGGGATATTGTTTGTTAAACTCCTTCAAACATCATCAGAAAGCAAAGAACTTTCAATAAACACAGACTCTTTCCGGTTATGTTGTTAACTTGTCGGTAATAAGGCCTTCACTTCTGTATCCATATTTCTTTAAAGTGCTTTTTTTGGGAACCAGAGAGCTGCAGAGTGTAGTGGTTATGATTCCCACACCCCAATCTCTTTGCAAACTCAGTCACCCAAAGGGCCAGCTTCTGCTTGCTGAGACGCCAATGGAGTATAAGCTAGAACAGTTCTTGAGAGAAAAGAGACCAGAGAAGCTTCTGCTTACAAAATTTTCCATCCGTGAAGCCTACATTTTGATGTTCTCTACCCGGGAGTAGGTACTAGAGCTCAGGCTTCAAAAGATCCTTGCTAAGTCCTAAACACAGAGCCTTTGTGGTCCATCTGCCTGATTCAGAGATCGCGAGGTGAGCTCAGAGGTGAGAGGTTTCCCTTCGGAGGTGAGTATCTCCAGAGTCACAATACAGGGGTGATCTCACTCTGGCTACACTGCTATAATTTATCGTATCACTGTCAGCCAGGGAGGACAGTTTTTCAGAACTGAGGTGATGGCCTTTCCTACCTGTGCAGACCTGGAGGTCTAGGTCTTCCCAGCAACATCCCAGTAACATACCTGATATCGTCACCAGGACATTCAGTCCCTCCAACACGTCCATCTGCTGAAATCGCCTCCGGTTGATCAGATTATAGACTTTGCCTTGCCCACTTCGGTCCAAAAGCATCAGGCCATTCTCTGTTCCCACCAGGAGGTTCACACCTGCAAATTGAAGGCGCACCCCAAGACTGACTTTTTATATGCTTCAGCCTTTCTGTATCTGGGGTCCCTGTGAAACCTAAGAAACTGTGTCTTTGTTACTATAAACTAATGGGCAAGTAGGTACTACGGTAGGAAGTGAAGAAGTAGAGGCTTGGCTGCAGTAATTAAATCACTGCCCCTCTGGTAACAAGATTAGTCTTCTTTTATAAAGTGGTAGCGGCATTCATTACCTCTGGCCGGGTACTGTCTGCTATATAGAATCCTTCTCCCGAGAAGCCTTGGGCACAGCTTCTACACCAGCACAATTAGCCTTTATTCCTTTCCTGTAACACCCATGGCTGTCCTGGCTCTCTCTGTAAATCCCACCTCAAGACTTGCCCAAGGTTCATCCCCACCCCTGTTCATGCACGAATTTCTAGCCTACCTACCTTCAACACACGGCAGAGTACCCCATTTCCATACCTCACTGGAAGAAAAGCCTTTCCTCCTCCTCACACCAAAGTTTACATATGTCTCATACGCTCAAGCTTCTGCTGTCAGGGAAATGACAAGCCAATGCCAGTGAAGGTGTTAACTGCCTGAGAGTCGCAGAGCTGTAAGGGACCACTCAGGTATCTAAATCTGGTCCAGCCCATCTCCCATGCACTTATCCCTATTACAAAATTTCTAGCAGGTAAGTGGTCTTGTTGGATAGCTGCCATCCTAAAAATTGCTGCAAATCAACCCCCACCTGCCCTGCAACATGCCTGCACACATGCACACTGAGGGCCACTGTGTCGCGGACTATGTTCATGAATAGTAACTCTCTACCTTCTCTTGCTTTTGTACATCTAGTTTTTGAGTAACATAAATGTCTGTTCTTTTGTCCATAAATTATTGCATATTAAACATGGCCATCTTGCCTCCTGTCTCTTCTCCAGAGGACAGAGCCTTACTCCTTCCATCAAACTAGGCCTGCTATTTTAGATGGATACAGATGGGCCACACGCTTCCTTAGTCAGTATATAACATTTGCAGTAACACAGGCCAGGACTTGGATAGAATCTCGCCCCACCTAAACCGAGCTTGAGGTCAGCTAAAACCTAGGCGTCATTTCCACAGGAATTGCAGGCTGATGTTTGAACTACAAGGGAAAGTTCATCATCTGTTGTCCTTTTCAAGGTTTATCTTGCCACTACTAGCCTTTATAAATTCACTCAAAGATGCTAGCTGTGAACTGGGGGTGATGCTCTTCCTCCCCTTGCAGGATACAAGAGGATCACAGAGTCTGAGTGCGGGCACATCACACAGTGCTGGGCACATAGTCGGTGTGTGGTAAGTGGCAGCTCGTTCTCTTACTGACTTTAGCCCACCATGATTATGTGATGAGGTCATTCTGAATCTGATCTTGTTGTCCTGGGAGTGAGGGTATCAGCTCTTGTTACATGTAAAACTGCTCCTGGATCTCTCCTGAGGCCAAGACAGTCCTGAGTTGGAACTCTGACTGCCGTGATTCAACCATTGCTCTCCAGATGGTAAGCTCCACCGGGTTTTAAGGTTTGAGGGTCGATTTATTAATGAGTGGTAAAAAGCAGCACTTACCCCAGAGAGCTGCACAGAGTATCTCCGAGTTGAATCGTTTCTTGTATTTTCTGATTTCAGGTGTGTCGCTATGAGGTCGAATGTTGGTTGGGTTTACGTTTACCACTGAAATCTTTCGTGCTTCATTGAGTTTGGCCTGTTCTTGCCTAAGAAGTTCGCTAGTAAACAGAGCTTTGAAAAAAAGAATCAGAGAAGTCAGTGGTATCTTAAAAAACCAGTGGTGATATGGAGAAGGCATGTCAAAACGCTATAATTTCTCCTTGTTTAGTGGGCATTATAGAAAAGGCAGGGCAACTCTGCAACTATGCACATTTTATACATTTTTTTTTTAGTAGAATACAGTGTAAGTCATTCACAGAAGCAGTATTTTATCCATTAGTAAAACAGACTTATGGATACGACTTGGGTAGTTTAGAAAATAGATATTCATCTCACAAAACTGAACACACCATTTACTATAGCATACATAGGAAGATTTATTTTTTAAAATCCTGTCTCATCAACTGACAAACTGGCCTAAGCTTCCCCTGATGATTAGTGAGTTGCATAAGTCCAGAAAGCAGGACTCTGCCCTAAAGCAGCCAGTCCTGGGCAATAGGAAGCACACACCTAGAACCCAACACAACTCGACACGCACTTATTAAGTGTCTACTGCGTGCACAGCATTGTACCCAGAAATTGCTTTTGAGAAGTATGTGGTAAGTTTGGAGGTCTCTGAGGAACAGCTTTTCCCAGGGCCCCTGGATACCTCTGGGTTCCTACCAGAAGCAAAATAGAAGAGATGGAAAAAAAAAAAAAATGGAGAGAAAGAAATAGTTTCAGAAATCCTAAGGAAAAAAAAAATAATAATAATAACAAAACAAAACAAAACCCAACTTCCCTTTAAGGCAAAACCTAAGCAGAAAATGGCTTAACTACAGGACCAATAATTCATTTCTTTATCAGTTCTTATCAGAAAGGAAACCTAAGCTGTTTCTAAAACATCCAGGCCTTCTAGCTTACCTGCAGCTGATGATTCTTCGTCCTCTTCCTCTTCATCAGTGGGAGACGTCTGGTACACTCTGGGGTCCACAAAGGGGGTGAAGGAGGCCTTAGTGCTGCTCCCCATGCCGTACTAACCAATATGCAAGAGGATTAAGAAAAGCAGTTAAACAAACACTATAGGAATGAACGATGCCAGGAATATTTTACTTGGGCTTTAAAATGATAACCGCTTCTTCCATCTGTTTAGCTGTTCACACTCTAAACCCCGAGTCCAAGTGTGTGCCTCTCTCTCCAGCTTCTCCTGGTCTCGGCTGGTTACTCACCATGTGCCTTTGCGAGGGCCCCATTAATTGTCAGACCGTAAGAGCTTCAGTGAGCAAATTACATTTGGGGCCATATGGTAAAGATGACCGCGGTGACAGAGCTCATCTCTCCTCTGAAGTAAAAACAACCTCATTTTGACCACATGATCTGAAGGAAAGCGGACCCCACCGGCAACCAACTAAGGAAGCATGTCCACGCGACAGCATTTTGTCCCGAACATACAGTCTAGCTCCTCTTGGAACTTTCACATACGTTCTCTCCTTCGATCTTTCGAAGAGGTCTGTGAAGGAGGTGGGGCAAGTACTAATACTCCCACTCAGAACTGGAGCAGCAGCAGAATCTGAACCAGAGTCCAATCCCTTGGGGCTCTTTCTGGTCCCTCGAGAGGTGTTGAGGCAGAGAACACCTGTCCACACCACGTGAAGTCACGAGAGGAGATGCTGCACCCTGCAACGCACCTCTGTGCTCTTTCCCTTGGGGCAGACAAAGCTTGTCTGCTCAAGAGCTTTAGAATCCAAAGGGTGTATCATAAAAAGTGTGTGGACAGTATCAAAAACACCACTGCGCGAGCTTCGTCATTAGCTTCAGGGCGTCCGTGTGACTCAAGGGACTATTCGTGCGGCAATGACCAAGCACCACGGACTCCTCCACCGCTCAAGCCTGGATAACCACCCCTACGAGCACTGCCTAGCCGACTGGATTTATTCACGCTACTTCCGGGGACTATTTCTATATGGGAAAGATAGTTTCTCAGTTCTCCCTTTTTCATGCAATTTGGAGTTCAGGAAGAGGAATGCTCAGAGAACCTATCTATTGATTTTTTATCTTTCATTTAACAAAAAATTCCAACCTCATTCTAGGTCCAACTTAGTCTGACTCAATTGATGTAAACATGAACCTCAACTTGGCCTTGGGATCTCTACAGGCTGAAGTTTCTACCACTGGCCTGGGGATAGGAAATCCCAGTTCTACAGAGATCTGTCACAAACCAGCTGTGTGCCTTGGGCAAGTCACTTAACCTCTCTGAGCTTCAATATTCTCATCTGTAAAAATAGGTTTGGGGCCAGATGATATCTGATAACAGTTACTGCTGTGCTTCTGTGATTTTCCCCTATTAAAGTATTTGTAGAAGTAGTTATGTAATAGAAACCAACTGAACACATTTCAGGGAGCTTAGCGAGGCCTCATTCCTGAAGCCGGCTCCCCACCTCCCATCCCTCCCCTCTCCCGACCCAGTGAGAACAGAGCTGTTGAGGCTGTTGCCCAGCACCTACTTCAGTCCCAGATTCCATCTCTTGGGAATGGGTGGAGACGCGCCCCAGGCCCTCAGTTGGTGTCCCAGCTGGGGAGTGGCTCTGCTGCACCAGGTCTGGGAGATTGATGTGGCCAGCGAAGCCATTGCTGTCACTGTGGCCAGATCTCTTCTTCTCTCCAGACGTCTGAGGGGGCACAACACATGGGGAGCATTAGACAAGGATTAGAGAAGGAAGGCAAAGACCACAGAGCAATGTCACCCTCCACACAACACAGGCACAATGGTCTTCAAATGGACCCTTGGGGGTCTGTGGGAAGAAAACATTCACATTTCTGTTTTACTAAGAAAATAAAGAAGTTAAACTTTGCTACTGTTTAGTATATGGACTGACCATGGGGCCTTTTGCTTCTGCGTGAGGGGCCTTCAGGGCCACACAGGAAGTGGGGGTTCCCTGGGAAAGACAGGAATGCCGGACGCAGGTGGAGGGGCAGAGCACCAGAGGTCCGCATCCACACTGTCCCTTTCTGCCATATTTATGTGTGTGCCTGTGAGCACACCAGTTACCTGGGCTTGCAGATTATATTACCAGATCACAAGACACAAATCCACAAGACACACACATGACCTAAAATATTGCTGAAATGAAAAGGTTGGGCAAGATAATGCTAAGAATCCACTCATGTACCACGTACCCCAAGAAAATGCAGAGATGATATCAACCAGACCCACAGGGCTATTTATCAATAATGAGGTCAAAACAATGATGAATAAATCAGATCTGACAGGAGTTACCAAAAAATGTACTGAAATAATCTACAGAGTATATGAAACTATGGGTTTATGTCCGGTATTAATTTTGAATTTCTCATAAGCGATTATAGTGCTGTGTAGTAAAAAATGGAAGTCATCATGACTAGCAAAGCATTTGAAATATTGTTTATAGCATTCTTTTTTAATGTCCTCTAAGGTGTTTTTAAAAAACATATAATATGCGTAGTAGAAAACATGCATGATTTATAAATAAATACAGTGTAATTATGGGGCCCCTGGTGGCTCAGTCGGTTAGGAGTCTGACTCTTGATTTCGGTTCAGGGTTGTGAGATCGAGCCCCACATCGTGCTTAAGATTCTCTCTCTCTCTCCCTCTGCCTCTTCCCCCATTCCCCCAACTCCTATGTGTGGGTTCTCTCCCTCTTAAAAAAAAAAATACATTGTAATTATGTGGCATGCTCTAAAATTTTTACTGTTAGCATAACTGTTAGCAAGTTAGGAAATCTTTGCTCTTAAGAGTAAAGCCTCCTCCCAAAAACCCCAGGGAAGAGAGATACAGGATCAAAGACAACTCTGCTTCCTAAAAGCCAGTGCCCACACTGTAGGCCTGGCTAGTACTGTGCTTCCTGACTTAACATTTAGGTGACCAGCTCCCTGAGGTTTCTTAGAGCAGACGTGACTACGTAGGAGTCCCTTCTTTGCCTTTGCTTTCATTCATTCATTCACCCAACATTTCTGAGTGCCTATGGAGTGTGACGTGTTTTGCTGAACATGGCGGAAAGAGCCAGGAGCGGGGCAGGCAGAAGCACTCCCCTGATGGCTGGCATGGGCTCACTGGCCTGACTTCCCCCTTCCAGATCCTGTCCTGGTCTTGCAAGGACCACTCGGTACCTGCTTCTGGCTAAAAGTGAAAGGAGGCACTTTTTTTGAGGTGGGGGCGGGGGGGATGTAGATGATGAAACAGATTCCCAAGTTCCTGAAAGGATGCATGTAATGGGTGTTGCCAGGGAGTTTGAGAAATATCTGGAAAGCAGGGGCATGCTCTGTTTCTTGGCAGCACACTCCTGGCCTGTAGGCTGCCCCGGTGAGGGGTAGTTCCTGGATTCCTTCTGCCCCAGGGCTCATCCAGGTACTAGTGCCTGTTCTCAGCACTGAACGCTTTTTCTTCTAAATGACATTTATGGGGTTCAGTCCTGATTCATCTCAATGTCTCCAATTTTATGTATACTGGGCAGCTTTTCCTTCCTTCTAACTTCTGTTCAAATACTGAGAGGATTTTTTTTTTCCTTTAACCATTTCTCCCCAATCTCCCAGTAGCATAAATCACACATGGTATCTCTTTAGAGTTTCATGGGTTCTCGAATCCAGCCCCAGCATTCTGCTTCAAGCCAAAAACGGATGCAGACACATTGCTTATCAAAGAAGATCCCGAAGAGGCTAACACGGGGAAAAGCCCCAGACAGTGAGAAGCCTGAAGGAATCCGGGGAGAGCCCTGAATCTTTCCCATGCCAATCCTTTTATCCATTCGGCCAGCAGCTCAGAGTTAAATACCTTCTGTGTGCCAGGCACTCTGCTGGGAATGCACAGATAAATGAACACCCCTGCCTCCCAGGACCTCCCTGCTGAGCCCAGCAATTTCTATAGTCTTTCCAGCCTCACCATTCCCATGGGGGTGGACACTAAGATGTTCCGACCAACAACATGTATCTGGGACGGTGCCAAACGCTTTAGGTACAGTATTCCACACAGTCCCTAAGATAACTCCACGGGTTAGCTTTCATTATCTTCATTTCACAGCTGGAAAAAATGCACTGCAAAAATTCAGCTGACCTGCTCCAAGTGGCATGGGTTCTAAGGGCTGCAGTCGGGGGCGGCCTGGTGGCAGAGCCCAGGTGTTTTGGTCTGTTCTCACACGACGTGGCTCTGCTCTCGGCCGCAGCTGATCAGACCTGGAGTGGACACCTGAACCACGCAGAATCAAATTCCCTTTTGCATCTAATGCTGGGGCCGAGAGACACTGGTCGGTTTCTGCTGGACGGCTGAACTGGGTGGGATGTGGTCCCTATCTTGCGATTGGTGGGGGAGGGAGAAAAGTGAGAGCTCGTGCATGTAGATGGAGACAAAGCAGGTCTGTGGAGTAGAAAGGACAAAAGAGCAATTGGAGGAAAGAGAAGTGAGGCAAAGGAGAGACAGGCATTGAGGAAAGCAGAGATGAGGGTAAGGAGAGACAGGAAGTGAGAGAGCCAGAGATGGGCATACGAAAGCTGCCTGTACTCCTGATCCTTTTTAGTTTTTGGTTCTAACCCTGCACAGAGTCCCAACTTACTCTTTGCCTTTGGATTCCTTGTATGAAACACCCCTGAATTTTTATGCCCCTATCTCTGATACACCCCCCACATTTTCTCCCCCTCCTTAAGTTGTTTTAAATGGATTATTTTTATAATTACTTCCTACTACCACCTGGTCAGTAAGAAAGATGCTATAGACAGAGGCCCATAGAGTCCCAGAGAGGTCTCAAGGAGAAAGGGAAGGCTGAGCCAGACCCATAGGAATTTGCTGGGTAAGAAGTGGGCAGTGGAGGCAGTGAGGAACAGAGAACAGCTCTTCTGGCAGATGGGTCCCTATGGACAAAGTGGGAGACGACAGCTGGTGTTGGTGGGTTCTAGAAATTGAGTAGGGAAAGGTCCTATAGGGTCATAGGATAGGGAGAGAAAACCAGAGGGCCTGGGTATGCACTAAATTTGTGTGTCTTGGCAAGACAGTGGGTCATAGAGCCAGTATCCACCAGAACCATCTTGTCCACTCAAGTGAGAATGCTGACATAAGTGAGTTCTCCTTGATGTCCATCTTGGGGAACTGAATAAGAGCACCCTATAAGCTAAGTTCTATGGTGAGTTTTTCTTTTCTTATTGTTTTGTCAGGGACATACTTTCATTTGCATTCAACTTTTTAACACCTGTTCCTTTAATGGATTCCAAGGTTTGTTATTTTAAAAGTCCACTTTTGGCAAAGGTGGAATTCTAGAAACTGAGAGACAAAAGATTTTGGGCCCTCCATAGATCAAATTCATATAAGACACTGGCAAGTGCTGTTTTCAAAGTGACTGTCTGTGGCCATAAAATACTGGAGTGCTTTAAATAACATGGAGCCTTCTGGATATGTCTGGTAACTGAACTGAAAATGTGCCTCTTGATAATCTCCCAAGTACTGACTCTGTCTTAAGGACTCAAGCAAACTGTAACCTGCGTTAGAAATCAGAGTTCTTTTATTTAGAGTCAGAGAGTAACTCACCCTGGAACATCTTCCCTCAAGTTTTCCAAGTAGCAAGAGAGAGTGATAGCAGCATTGCACACCTGCATTGGGATTCTCCACTCACCGCGCTGGGAGATTTAGACGCCAGTGCCATGTAATGTCAACTGTGGCAGCCAAGTCCATTTCTTAGTTCAGGCTTACATGATAGGACTCTTTAAAGCCTACTTCAAAGATTCGGCAAGGCCATATAATGAGATTCTAGCAAGCTGCTTTGTGAACTACTCTTCCAGTTACAGCCCGACTGCCAATTATTATTTCAAAGGCCTTATTCATCTCAAAACTACAGTTCCTTTCTTTCTTGGAAGAGCAAAGCCTGCTCTGATGGTTTCCCAAACTCTCCTGGCTAAAGAATGACAGATGATATACATTGTTTCAGAGGCAAGAGTGGGGAGTGATAACCAGTAACAAAAGAACTCCATTCTGTGGTGACAGGGAGATAAAATAATATTGAGTTGATCCCTGAACAACACAGGGGCTGGGGCATTGACCCCCCCATCCCCCGGGGCAGCTGAAAATCCGAATCGAACTTTTGACTTCCCCCAAGCTTCACTATAATGGTAGCCCACTCTTGACCGGAGGCCTTATCAATAACATAAACAGTTGATTAACGCATATTCTGGATATGTATTATACACTGTATTTTTATAATAAAGTCAGCTGGAAAAAAGAAAAATGTTATTAAGAAAATCATAAGGACAAGAAAATACAGTTACAGAATGAGACCGTATTGAAAAAAAAATCCATGTGTAAGTGGATCCACACAGTTTTTATCACTCGTGTTGTTCGGGAGTCCACTGTGTTTATGTTAACTGAATGCTTACACGTGTTAACTCACTGAATCCTCCCGGTCAACTTATGAGTCATCTCCTATTGTTTATGAAATTTTATAGATGATAACATGGACACAGGGAGACATCAAGTCATTTTTGCCCAATGTTACCAGCCATTACTTTCCTCCCAGGCAAAGACTTGGTGTCAAACTTGCATGATGACAGTGAAGTGAGAGAGAAGAGAAGACAAATTTTGATTTGTCAAGGCCCTTCCCATTGGCACAGGTGCCGTGAGGACGGGCTGCCTGTGGGAGGACAATACCCCCCCACCCCCCAACGAAATGATGTGCCTCAAGTTTAAAAAAACACAATCCTACATAGTGCCAAGGTACATTTCCAAGTAGATTGCATATTTCTTTGTTCTTTCATCAAAATAGCTTAATAGCCTTTTTAATGTTGACTTAATTAGATAAGATGAAATCACAGTTTCTTGGAACTTGTAAGCATTTTCTACATAAAATCCACAAGGATAAAGCCAGGAGGGGAGGAAGCATAACAAGGCCTCGGATACTGCTGAGCGAGATCATTCATTTCTGTTTTCCTGCTGTAGGAAACATCTGGGTTTGCCAGTTTTCTATCCTTAGGCTCAAATTCCGTATTCCGATTTGCATAGCTCCTACTGAAGAATCTGGACTAATGTAATTAAATCACACTGCAGAAGCTTAGAAGGATACAGGAAAGGAGGCGGTGGACAATTAAAATCACTCAGCCATTGAGAAGCGCCGGTGCCCCCGCCCAGCCCCATCCACAAGGCTTACACTACATGTCGTAAGCATTCTCTACGAAAGCTCTAATATTGAAACCACTCAAGAAATGCACTTCCTCTGCACAGCTTTTATACCAACTTACCTCTCTTATCATCAGGGTTCCTTCTCTTGAAATACTGCTGCTGAAAGTGTCCGCGTGAGAGGTCTCCAGCCCGTGAGTGCCGACCATTCCCACATTGTACTGCTCCGTGTTCCCCGGGGCTCCTGTGGGTCTGAGATGGGAAGGAACGATATTAACACCAATGTATGTTTAGGGAATGCCGGTTTCTGGGTGTCCTGAACAGGCGTTCCGCTTCTGCAGCATCCCCTCCCCGCCTGCTCTCTGTGCAGCAGCCCTCGTGAGCAAGCTTCCGACTCTCCAAGGATGAAACTGCCCCAAACTGCCTGCCAGGCTCCGCAGGGTTTCCAAGCCCTCCCTACTCCTTCTTCCACCAGCAGGCTACCTTGACCTGCACTTTGCACATGCTATTCCCTCTGCCTGGAAAACTGTCTCCCACCCTGGCTCTTGGCTGGTTGCCTTTCTCCTACTGTTACTGAAGTATCCACACTTCATCTTAAATGATAACTTCCCCTGAGAAGGCTTCTCTCAGCATCGAGATCTTACCCCACCAACCCCTATTCTTTCTCTTCACCCTCCGTCCTGTTCCTATTCGTTCTCACCACAGTTTGTGACTCTGTATCTTTTTGAGTCTCTTGTGACTTTTGCCTTCTGTTTCATTAGAACATAACCCCTGTGAGGGCAGTCTTGTCTGCAGATTGCTGTATACCTAGCGTAGAACTAGGCACAGAGCGGGAAGGAGTGCAACACACAATTGTTTGATAAATGGGTTTTCCACTATTTATGGATAAGAAACATCAATGAAGGGCATTCTGGCTTACCAGGATGTCCATCAGCTAGGCTGTTTACCAATATGCAATACTTTTTAAAACCTCTCTAATGACTCCACACTGTGGTGTACGTTTCCAGCTTGTTCTTGCATTTAAGATGTAACGGAGAAGGTAACAGGACCTTGACATATGCCCTGAGAGCAGAGACTGATGTTTTCCATGTGTCCTGGGGCACAGAACATATCTATCATTAAGGAAAACTGAGAACCAGGTAGGTGACATGGTTCGTCCACAGGATTTCAGTTTCCAATGTGGGCCTCACTGATACCCTGTATTTATTTTATTTTTATTTTTTTAAACATGTTATTTATTTATTTGAGAGAGAGAGAGAAAGGAGAGTGCACGCATGAGCAGGGAGAGGGGCAGACGGACAAGCAGACTCCTGGCTGAGCAAGAAGCCTGATGCAGGGCTCGATCCCAGGACCCTGGGATCATGACCTGAGCTGAAGGCAGACGCTTAACTGACTGAGCCACCCAGACACCCACAGCTGCCTCTCTTTTAGTGCGGGTTTATTAAAATAAAAAAGGCATCAAGGCTTGTTTCTCTCATTAGGTATTTTAATTATATGTTTTACCATTTTATTCTCTTAATTGTTTCTTTTTTTTTAAATTGTTTCTTAAGTATTTAAAAAAAAAACCACATTTCTGGTCTCCTAGATCCTATCAAAATCCAAACATTTGAGGAAATACTCAACTCAAGAAAGAAGAAACACACCAGATTTCTGACATCTCTGGGACAGAGAAGACATATGTTAAAGATCCAAACAAAGAAGTGAGAAGATAAGATGAGTCCACACCAAAAAAAAAAAAAAAAAAAAAAAAGAAAAAGAAAAAGAAAAAGAAAAAAAAAAGAAATGCATAGGAAAACACTTATGCCAAAACTACTAACAGGAGCAGTGGATTGAATGAATCTAAATTTCCTTTAGAACCGATGTGTTTGGGAAGAAATTCCAAAGAAGCAATTTCAATACTGTATTCCCAGAAAGGAGACATTACTAGTGTCCCAGAGACATGGTAAAAGGAATCACTGCAATGAATGCCTGACATTCGGCTAGACTGGTCAGTCAGAATAGTTGTCAAAATTGTGATGTTGTCGCTCATTTATTTGAAATTTTCTTTTACCTTGTATGTATGTTTTTAAAGCTGCCTTCAATGCTTGTTTATCACACCACACAAGATTGTGTGATACAAATAAGTCAATAAATGAAGCATTTATAAAGAGCCAACGCCTTCTAGGAAGGGGGTCACTTCCCTTCTTCACTGAGACATTCTTTGCCTCTGTCAGAAGCTACATGGATGGTGGCAGCCACCACCAGGCTGACAGTGTGCAACTGAGTTCCTTTCCACCATCAGAGAGTTTCATGGGAATTCAAAGATCAAAGATATTTTGGCCCACTTATATATTTTTTCACCCTGATGATGTTTGATTCTACCCATTTTAACCAGAAATACGCCAATATGAGTGAAATTTTCATAAGAAAGGTATTTTCTAGAACTAACTCCATTAGGACAATTCCTGGATCAATTTTCAATATGCTTCAGTTAAATTCTTTGCCAATTTATTTGTTTTCATTATTATGAAAGTAAAATTATCATCATAGGATCCAATTCTTTTCTATGTAGATTCTATAACAAAGATTTAGTAAGCCAATCAAAATTGTTATCCATAACATCTTTCAAAGGATTCTGCGGTCACTACTTCTACCAAGTACAGTTTGTCTGGATTGGTTCTAAAGGTGTCAATTTTATTAAGAAGATTTGATTCACCTGTCAATTTTTAGTCAATAGCAAGTTTTACAAAGGGCATAGTGTGAGCCACTGACAGTTTAACCTCTTGCTCAATATTTTTACTGAGATTATTTTTTCCCAGGTCCATTTTTATACTTAAAATTTTATGACCAAGAATTGTTCCATTTTTGATAAATTTTTATGGTGAACAGTTTGTGCTGTTTTGAGTTTTTAAAAGTATCATTTCTACTAGTAATAGTCCTTATTGATTGAATAAAATACAATAATCTGTATTTCTTCCTTTGTCAATTGTCTAGAATGGTGAGCAATTTCTCTTAGATAGTTTAAGGTTTTTCTGGTGTGTACAATTGGTCTATTTTATTATGAACCTTTTATATATATTTGCTCACTCTGTGTACCTTGTATTATTTGACAACATCATTAATTTTTCTGTTACCAATAACAGCGTTTGATTATGGAAAATTCCTACAGATTTCTGTATGTTCCAAATCACCTCTCTACAGATTTTTTAAAAAATTTTAAAAAGTTTATTTATTTATTTAAGCAATCTCTACACCTGTTGTGGGGCTCGAACTCACAACCCTGAAATCAGAAGTCTCAGGTTCTTCCAACTGAGGCAGCCAAGCGCTCCCAGAATTCTTTTTAAAAGGCGTGGTACCTTCCTTCAAATACTGAGGTTCACTGTTCAAACTGTTGCTCTCTATACTTGACTTCTAGCATCTCAAGGAAACTCCTTAAGTCATATCTTAGCTCTCAAGTTCAACGACTGCTCTTTGGTACTTTGGGTATTTGACCTCTTGTCTGTCTACTATTCCTGACCCTTCCACTCCATCCTTCTTTGCTCCCCTGACCATGTCAGGCTTTCAAACTTCAGGAGCTCCCAGTTAACCATAGGATAAACCTGTGGCTTACAAGTCTTCTTTTATCTGGTCCTTGCCTGTTTCTCTAGCTTATGGTTTCAACGAAACCTACCTTCCATTTTTAACTTGAACAAGATGTGCCTTCTAGTAGTTTCCTACACATATCATGCTACCAAAACGCTTGGGCAACTTTAGTCTATCTTCTCTTCCTGAATGGTTCTTTTACATTCTCTGCCCCCCTCTGGGTACCTCATCCTTTAAACTACAGTCCAGGCTCCTAAACTCTAGCCCAGCCCCACTGGGATGGTATAGGTGGCTCTCCACTCTGCTTCCACATTATCCTCTACATGCCTCTAACCACGCACTCAATACACAGTCCCGCAATGATCAGATCTCAGTACTGTTGGTATCCTCGGTGCCAAGCACTGTGCCTGGCAGGCAGGTGACATCCAGTAAATGTTTTATAAGTCAACAAAGGCTTTGTTTAATAACTCTAGCAAACATTTCACTCAAGTTCATTGCCAAGAGATAGCTCTTTTATGAATTGATGATCAATCAGCTATGAGAATAATTATTACCATGTTTAAAGTGTCCTGAATAACTAATGATTTGTCTTTTTAAAATTTGAAAAATAACTTCAGCATTGTATCACTTTCTTTTTTAAAGAAGTAATTTTTTAAAAAAGATTTTATTTATTTGACAGAAGAGAGAGAGAGATCACAAGTAGGCAAAGAGGCAGGCAGAGAGAGGGCTGAGCAGAGAGCCTGCTGAGCAGAAAGCCTGATATGGGGCTTGATCCCAGGACCCTGAGACCATGACCTGAGCCGAAGGCAGAGGCTTAACCCACTGAGCCATCCAGGCACCCCTGGATCACTTTTATATACAGGCTATGAGAAAATAATTTTCTTATAATTGTTATTACAGGATGATCGAAACATTTGTTCAGGTATGTCACTGAACTTTATAGTATGGAGAGTGAAATTTGATGTATGTAAATAAAAATACATCATTTAGGAGGTTGGTGAATCCCAGGAAAGAAGGCACACTGTGAAAAGAGAATCTTACTGCACTACAAACATATTTTAAAAATCTCACTGAGAGGGGAATGGGGAAAATTTGACCTATGTAACTCTGGAAATGAACGGAGTCCCATAAGACTAAACGTAAAAGGAACTCTAACGGCTGCAGTTGTTTCCCGTGGGCATACAGGTTAAGCATTCTGACGCTGCTATCCATGTGAACAATTAAGCAGATGCTGGTGGTTTCCCACTGTTGGTGTGGGAATTTCCAAGTAAGGATGGCGGGGGGAATGATCCATGTGTTCATGAATCAGAGTTGGAGATATCAGGATAAACTTTTATTTAATGTCATACAGATGGCTATATGTAGAAACACTTGTAGATACATGTACATAATGGGTTAAGACACACACGGATATTTCCTTGCTTGGTCAGCTGAGAGGGCCTACAAGAAATGATACACTAGCAGCCATGAGCACATCCCGTGCCCGTATCTTGGTTCCGATACCATTCTTTAATGAAAGGAATCAAGGACCCCAGGAGAAATGGCTGATTCCAGGACTAGAACAAGAAGTACACAGGATATGCCTGGAACCCCTTACAGTGTCAGAAAGTAATTGGGGTATGTCAGCCCCAGGGGCGCAGGAGCCAACTGAAAGAGCTTCCAGTGGTTGAAGGTGGAACAATTCAAGCAGC